AATTTCCCCTCAGTTTCCGGGAGACAACTCAAGGATTCCGCTCATTTCAAGTTTTCCGCTCAAAATCTGAAACGAGCAAAACACATGCCCAGAGCCCCAAGAAGCGACCAAATGGACCGGGGTATGTTGGAGGGGGGGCCTTAACACAGCACGCAGCACAGCGCGTTTGCCAAGACACACATAGCCTCTGACCTCTGGTCTTGTTCTTCTGCTACCCTCCTCCTCCTCGTCCTGCACACAAGCAAGTTGTTTGATCCTGACCTGAGTTGACTGGACAGAAAACAAGCACTTCTTGGGTCTTGACTAACACCATGAAGACACTTACCAACACAAAGCAATTAAGGATCCGCAAACTTCAAGCAACATGAAACCATGGACGGTACTGCGTGCGGAACAAGTTCTCCACCCACCTCACTGCCGGCATTGTTCCAGCAGGTTTGTTTTGAAGTTCTTTCCCAAAAACAAGAAAAGGGGCCCTATCCATCAGCAAAGAAAGCCCTCTTCAAGGGGGACACAAAACCAAACGAGCAATGAAAGCTGAGAAACACACGCCAATGAAACACATGACACGAAACACGCCCAAAATACCAAACAAGGCCAACGCCCCCCAACCCCCAATAAAAAAAGAAGAAAGCAAGGCAAAAACACATTTTTGAGTTGTGTGCAACCCTGCGCCTCGCTGTCGCTCAGCGGAAACTCCTCCACTGGCCCAGTCGCCTTAAAAGGAGCCACAAATCGAACACATCAGGCGACAGCTGATGGCGAGAGTGTTGGCATCCTCCACGCCCATCATGCGCAAGACACTTTGGAGCTGCTCTTGGGCTCCAGCAGGCGCAAGCCGTATAAGCGGCACGCTGTATCCCCTAATATATGGCGGCGTCGCTTCGTGTACCAAGGCGAGTGGTTGTGCCAGAGGGGTATGGGCATGAGCTTGAGGTTTGCAGTTTCATAAGCTTGCCGCCCTCAGCATGCAGTTGCTGCTGAATTTCCGTCAACTGCGTTGCAGCAGGATTTTCTCTTGGACATCAAAACCAGAAAGGTTAAAGCCACCAGCTAGGGAGTCGAAAGGGCAAGGTCAGGCCATGAGAAGAGGTGCCCACTGTGAGAGCCAAGGGCCCGGCCAAGCTGGCAGCCTCAGGCGGCGCTCCAGTGTCCCATGTTTCGGACCACAGGATGTGATCTCTACAGATCGATGGGCAAATCAGTGGTGACAAAGAGGAAAAGGACTGACAAGCAATGAAGGCTCCTTTCGGAGAATCTGCGGTCCAATTCTCATGTTCTGTTCTCATTTGCAGGCCAGTGAATTATCACAACTTTCCTGGACAAAGTGGTTGGCTTCTATTTGGTTTCGCTTCAAACATCATCCAGAAGGGAATCCCGCTTTTTAAAAGGCACCCCCGCAAGCGACTGTTTCTTTTGTTGGTTTAGTTGGTTGATTTCGGAACCAAGGATCTGCTTTGCCAAAAGGTGCAGTTGACCTTATATTGGACAGGGACCCTTTGGTGCTCATGCGGACACATGCCCATCAACCGCTTTTGAGGGGGGGGGGGGGGGGTCCAAACGTCAAACACCATAGCCAAGTCTGACTGCAATGGATCTGGCAAGCATGCGGCAATAGCAAGCTAAATGGCAACGAGCCCTGCCTCCAATTGTTCCTCCACTTCGTCCTGCGCTTCCTCAACTTCGCCACTGCCTTGGAGCATCTGCAAGCAGCCAAGTGCCCTCTCTCTCTCTCGCTCTATCTTTCCGCCCATTTTATTTATCTTCCTAAACAAAACCCTGCGTGAGTAACTTTTCGTGGGGTTGAAAAGAACGTCAGCGCACTGAACAACCAATGGGGTGAACGTCAGCCCCTTTCTAACTTTCAAGCCAGAGCAAGGAACACAAGCTCGAAAATCGCACTTCTTCGTGGGTTATCTGCTTTTAGGCCATGGGCTCGCCATCATGGGTGTGTAAAGTGCAGAACTGAGGCATTCACTTCTGTTTCTCGTCCAGAAGGCCCCGAATCAGATGCGATCACCCCAATAGAGGCCATGAGTAAACGAAGACCCGAAGGGAAAAACCAACAGGTTTGTTGCCCCGGACAAAAATCCCAAAGTCATTGCTCTAAGTCTTTGGCAGCAGAATTCGGACATCGCGTTTGGTGGTTGATACTCCCCAAATCATCCCTCTTTGATTTTGGCCTGTGTTTAGCTAACCTTAAACTATGATGCTATATTTAATTAGATCCACCAAAGCGGAAACCAAGACGTTCCCAAGGTCAAATGGGGCAGCATCCTGCTATGGTGGCACGTCTGCCAAGGCCACCGCTGTCTGCTGGTCTAAAGGGCACGCTGTCCAAGGCGGAGGCCAATGCCTGCACCCGCAGGGCAAACCTTGGAATCTGCGAGAACGTCCCTTGGGCGAAAGGGAAACCCAAAGGTTCTTGTCCACTTCCGTTTCCCAAGGCCAAAGGAAACCAACATGTCGGGCCGCGTTTCAAGAACTACGCGGCTCCAGGAACCTGTGGCCGCTTGATTTGTGTCAAAAAGCCAGAGAGAAGTGCGACATATCTTTGAAGCGGTGCAAGAGTTCGAACATATTGTATACGGTTACCCTTTGCCCCGCAGGTCGGTGACCCCTATTCAAAGGGGATGACTGGCAAAAGCACAGAACCACGTGGTGAATCCTTGCTCGGACCCGGGTAGCCGCTGGTGAAGGGAAACCAATCGTTAAGTTGTCTAACCCAAGGAGATTTGGTGTTCTATCGAACATCTCGGAGCAGCCCTGTAGGTTGGTACATGTTAACCTCTGATGGTGAAACTGTTTTCGGTTGTTTCAAGGGACACCAGAACAAAACCACAGTTTCTAGTTTCATAGTTCGGGAAGTGCCGCCCATCAATCTAAGCCCCCCATTCCGAGAAGCTGATCTGGCAGATGCTCAGAGGCCATCGCTTCACGGCAGCTGAACCGACGCAGGTGCAGAACCTGTTGCTTCTATTTCCGGTGCAGCCGAATGATTGAGGGTGTCAAAACATGTACGCTCAACATATGCGACACAATGACCCAACAGGACAGGCTTTGTGGACTTGTTTTTGGCAAAGCTTAGTGAGTCCACCTGTGTCCCTAACTTAACCAAAAACTACTGGACAGTTTGAGCGTGTCACGATGTGTAATATCTTGGCACAATTGCGGCGGAAAATGTACACGCAATAGGCCATGGATTGATCTTGCCCCCATACTGGGCAGTTGGTTTTTACGCTCTGGGACACCGACTCTGCATGCACCAGCTGGTAAGTGGCCTATCCCAGTGTTCGTCGGGCTTCAACTGGTGCAGGAATTTGTGTATCCGCAGTAATTATAAGTTAATTGCCTCACCAATTCCTCTGGTCGCATGCACTGCACCAAACTGAGAGCGGTGCGTTTTATTACGCGATGCATCTGGAGCACAGGTCATGCATTCCAAAAAACTACTGGGGGCAGGTGAATGTTGAGACGCGATAAGCGTCCGTCGCTCGTCATGGCACTGATGATTCCACATATTCTGCATAGCTTCCATATGTTTCAGACACAATAACATGCAAATAAATACAGCTGCAATAAATCCATAAAGGACAGTCAAAATCAAAAGCACAACCTCATGTCAACATTCGCTGCCAGAAATGGAGCAAGCAGAGTTGCAGCATTGACCTGATAGAAGTCGCTCGATCGCGACATGTCTGGAGAGCCCTGTGAATGTGAACTGCAACTCTTGCGAATTAGAGAGCCACATGCTAGACGAGCTGGCATGACCAAAGGAACAGCAGTCTGACACTTGCGATGTCTCTGCAATGTTCAGGTGCATTCACAGCTGGGTCTGTCTCAAATGGAGCATCTCTCCTTTCTTGACTGTGTAAACACAATTTTTGTTTAGTTGGCCAATGGACAATCGACACCCTACCTCGAAGGAAGTCACTTTCTAGCAACCAACACTTCACGCTTAAAATCAGAGGGGTGTGTCTGTTTTTGCGGGAACTCCCCATCTTTTTTGCCAATTGCCAAATACGAGGCTCATGAGACAGACCTGGCAATCGATTCATTCGGCTCTGTGCAAAAGGTACAGCCATCCTTGAGAAGAAACCTCGTTTCGAGTAATCCTTTCTTCGGCGCCCATTTGAGCAGCGCCCAAAACCCATCAACTTTTGGCTCTACTTGGTTGTAAAGGTTGATACAGGCCTTACTATAATCCCAGTGAAACCTGACCAAGACCAAACCCTTAGCAATTGTTTGTTTTTTCCTGTTGATAATTATTCTCAACATGTTGCATCGTTGGGGTGCTTGCCCAAACAGAAACAGGCAGTAGACCCGTCCTATGGCCAATTTCTAGGTAGCGAACCTGATTTAGGGACCTAAGTAGGGTTTTAGGGGTCCTTCTGCGCATGGGAACAATTGCATACCTGGAGCCCACATGTGCCCATGAGCCGCGCAAAAAATACCCGCTGCCGCCATGAAGGAAACGGGACACTTGGAGATTCCCTGGTCGCTTAGCAGTCATGCCCCCCACCAAATGGACTGGCTGAACATACTTCTGTTTCGCGTCAGGAACAGCCGCACCTACCTTTGGCTGGCGGCTCGCAGTGTGGCCAGGGCCAGTGATGGAGTTTGAGGAAGAATGTTGGCCATGCACATCACATTGACCAGCCAACATTCTTCCGTGATCTTGAGCAATGTTGAGGATTATGTTTCGTGGGATCCCGTGGTGGATGAGGACAAGCTGGCTTGGGGATGCATCTTTTAGTGAGGTTTCCAATGTGATTTGTCAGCTTGTGTATCATTTAACAGTTGGATGCTTACCTGTTGGCTCGGAGGAGATCTTGGATGTGTCTGTTGAAGCCCTCCCTGTCCTCTGCACCCCGGGAGAACTTACCCCCTTGGTTTTGCCCCCCAGCCTGGAGGGTGGAAGAAGCTTAACTTTCGGGCATTGACCAAAACGACGAAGAAAAGAACAGCACAAGTTGAAAGATCGCCAGTTGAACATTCTGAGCTTGTCCCATCAGCCATGGCCTGCTGGCCCACTGCGGCCGGATTTTATTGGGCCCGTCACTCCACCATGCCTGCTCGAGCAAACCTGAGGGCAATGGAAGCTCAGCCTTTGCCCCTAATCAAAAATAATATTTGTGATTCGGGTCCAGATTGAGTGAACCTTAACATGTAAAATCACACCCCGGATTCAGTACTCTTTTTGGGTTATGTTGAAGGAAGGCGAAAGGATAACGACAATTTAGGTGCTCTCAATCTTAAGACACACCCATATGCTGGCAAAGTGAAGTACCAAATTTCAACGTACCGCACTCAAGTTGCAGGGCTTTCCGTGAATAACCAGTGCTCAACTATGCTTGCCATATTTTTGCCAAGAGTTACATTTGGGAGAATCTTCTTAAGGGTATTGTTTGTTTAGTGGTTTCAAGGGACACCCCAAAAGACAACCACCGTTTTGGAGATAGCCATGAGGGTGAAACAACCATCTACTTCAACCAAGTGATCCCCCTAAGAAAGTTGAAGCCTTCGATCTTCTCGCACACCGAAAACCCCCTTTTGTGAGGTGGGAGTTCTTTCCTGCCCAAAAAAACGGCGTGGAACTTGGGGTTGTTGACAAGTTGTTGATTTTGTTATGGATTTGGGGTAGACTCCTTGCCCTGGGTGGATATTCTTTCAGCAAAATTTAAAGGGAAACCAAAGGGAGACCTGCCATTTCAGGGGTCCCATATGGTTGCATCTTCAAACCACGTAATGGGTTAGTCCCCTTTATGGATATCTCATACAGCCAAAAGTCTCCGGCAAACGATCCGCTTCGCGCCTCGTAGAGCAAAATATGGCTTACATGGTTTAAAGGATACCCGAAGGAAACCAACCAGCCCGGAAAAAAGAAGAAGAAGAAAAAAACAAAAAAACACCAATGTTGGATTCGTTTAGGTTCCCTATGCCGTCCTGGAGGGTGCGAAAAAGGGGGTCCTTTCCCAAAAAGAGGTGGCTCGGTGGTGGCTCACCATACTAAAGGCTTTGCAGGGATTGAAAAAGGGCTAGTAAGTTAAGATCCCAACAACGTTCGACTTGGCAAGCTGAACGCCCAGCTGGACAAGCAGCACTGGCGCTCATGCAGCTACCAAGTCAAAAAGGTTTCCATGCGGGATGCTGGAAGCGTCTCAATTGGCTCTGGAATTGACCGATTTTTGACCGAAGGTGACATCTCGCACTGAGCAGCCCTGCGAGCGGCATGGGGTCGGGGGTAGCCTAGGGCTGCTCAACCCACATAGCACCTCAGGTTGCAGCAAATCTGACGTTTTTTGTTGCTGGTTCCCCCCCGTTTGGTTTTGAAGGCAAACTCAGTGAAGGTGATACCCTGATGGCCATGACACGTTCCCACACCAGTCCAACAAAAGACGATTGGTTGCTAGAAGCGTCACACTTGCATGGCTTTCAGCACCAAACGCAAATCGTTGATACTTAAATTGGGAGAAAAAAGGGACGAGCAAACCACATGTGTGTAGACCTGCATTCTCCAGAGACATCAGCCTGACCTACCGAACCAAGGCAAACAGCACACCGGATTGCTTGAGTGAGTGTTAAGGGACATCTCCCAAGAGAAGGAACGAGCACTGGGGGTCCGTCCAATTGCCTGCCTCCCCCCATGTCGCTGCTGGCTTGGCTCGGCCCAGTCCACTGCCCTTCTCTAGCTCTCAGACTTCGCGTCTCGTTCTAGCCCTTGAAGCCATGTGAAAACGCGCAAACATGCACCCACCACATATCTTGGGAACCAGCTCACACTCGAACAAACACAACACTTCAAGGAAAACCAAAACACAGTACCTCAAAGCCAAAAGCATACAGTCCGAGGCGGGCAACGCGAAGCGTTTACAATAAAGGAGCCATCCTCTTCTCGCTCCCCTTTTCCAAGGGCCAACTTGCATCCCTATGCGGGGCCTATATGTCCATTTGGAGTATGTATGTTGGCCCTTAGACCTTTGAGTAAATCAAACATTCTCAAATTGAGCACCCAGCTGAGATGTTGGGTCACTTAAAGGGTCCAACCCCAACCCCCTCAAGCTTGGCCGCGCACCCAGTCGATGTGCCCCCGAGGGTCTCTCACCATGCGCACCGCCGTCCTCAGCTGCACGCGTGCGGTTCCGGACGTGCGGAAACGAAGAGAGCGCCAGTGGTGTTATCCCTGGAGCCCTGGATCCCTTCAGGTCCCATGGGGGGTGGGAGGGTGCCCCAACTTCGAGCGCAGCTCTTGGCTTATGGACCATCCTTTACCCCAAAAGGCGGTCCCCCAAAAGAAGACTCCGCCAAGAACGAATGGGTTGTTTGTGTTCCGTGTTCATCTGCGAAGTGCTTCTTACGGGTGGAAGCACATACCCCTTGCTCATACCCCTTGGCTTCACTGGGGGAGAGGGGGATGCACATCAGCAAGCCTTTTGGGTCAGCTAGACCTAAGAGGTATGCAAAAGGGGTATGCACGAACAATCGACGTGGCAAGTTTGCGGATCTAGGCATCGGGCTGCAGGTCAGGTAGGACCTTGGCCAACGATGTGCGCGACTCGCGGGAAATTGTACCCTGGTGCTGCGCATAGGATCCACCCCGTCTCCTCCCCTGACACTCCAGTCACCCGGTTTACGCCAAAGGCCTTAAGACCGTCCATCATCAGTTCGGGTCACACTTGGGTTAAACCAGCAGGGTCACTAGGGGTTGGTATCCTACACCCCTCACCCGATCTCTCCAGCTCTTGGGTCGATGGCTAAGCCCTCCCTTTAGTTTAGCCCCGTTGGGTGAACGCCCCTCTACATTGTGTCAGAGGGCTCGCTTCTTCTTTTTGCTGACTACGTTGGTCAGAGCGGACCACACTTAAGAGCAACCCCCAACGGAGTGAACAAGATGTAGGTGTTGGCTAGCCTTGTTGACCTATGGGTGAATTACAATTCTTCACCAATAGACACATATATCATCTTGATGATTTTTATCGAACTCCCATTTTGCGAGGTTGCGATTTCACCTGCCAGTCTTTGAAGAACAGAAGGACCCTTTGCGCCCATGTTCCGGCTTGAGTGGAAACCAGGAGCCTTCCAAATATGTGGACATCCTCATCTATTTTCCAAACATGTGCACATCCAAGTGGAATCGCTCAAACAACAACTTGCGAAGGATCGTAATCCTAAGCCCCGAAAAAAGGGCTTACGCCCGTCTTACATAATTATGTCCCACCGACACGGAAGGAACCGTCCAATCATTGCCTGACGCGTCGACCCCGGCGGATTATGAAGAGGGATTCATGAGAAAAGTTTCTGCTCGGCCTCCTTCCAAATCGATTTGGAACTCCATTCCATGTGTCCATTTTGAGGGTCTCTTCTTGGGATTGGAAGAGGAAAGCGAAAGCAGGAGTGGATTTCCCTTCAAGGGTTGAAATTTATTGATGGTGTCCCTGTAAAGGAGGTTCCAAAAGGAAAACTGCTCGGACAAATGCTTACTACATTCCTTGCAGGAATGGATCGCTTGCCCTAACGACGATCTCCAAGGCGCTTATATCACAATACCCTGCTGGGGATGAACAAAATCCATTTCGCACTAAGAAATCCTGGAATTGTTCAATGTTTCCCATGGCTTCAAAGTGGTGCGGGATTTCGTCCATCCACAAACAAACAAAAGCTTGCAACAAATAAAATCTGATTTCGGAAAAGACAGGAACATGACCATCCTTTCTTTGGATCTTAAAACTTGTTCTGACTTTTTCGTGAGCGAATGAATGTTTCACCCAACAGCCGGGCTCAAAGAGACGAATACTGGCCATCTCCGTAAGGAACTGGGAGGTTAAAATCCACAGCAGGCATCAGTGTGGATGGATGATACCCTTTGAACACTGGGATACACCACCAACTCACTGCGAAATGGATGTTAGTTGTCCATCCACGTATTGGTATGAATCTCACTTGGGAACAATTTAGGTTGAAATTATGTAGGTGGGGATTTGTGTCCACCAACGTCAGTTTTGAGGGGTTCCGACTCTTGAAATTCATAGCCATATGAGTCTTGATCAAAGTGGTGGACCTCTCAGATTTCTTTCACTACCAACCAAGATGGGCTCTGATATCCAGTTGAGGACCCCCCCCCGGTATAGGTTCCTTATTAAATTCATAGCCGTATAAGGACCTTCAGGTGAGGCCCAATTTAGCGCTGCACCTTCGGCTCGCGTGGCTTCTCCTTCGGCACCTACCAAAATGCAGACCGGATCACAGTGGAGGAAAGGGCGCCCTTCCAGACTGAAAAACAAGGAATTGGCGCCCGCTTTCAGTCGACTTTAAATTACAGGGACCCAGGACTCCAGGACCCAGCAAGTTGGGTCAAAAGGTCACTGGAGGTCGGCAACCGGGCCCAAACAACTGGACTCAAAGAAGGCTCAACTGTGCAAGGGCTAGGTTCGCGTGCAGGGAATCACCTGTGAATTCCGGGCTGAGCACAAAGGGTGCCAATTTTTGAGGGTACCCCTTTTTCATTTGAAGGGAAACCTTTGAGACAGACCCATCAACAAAATGCGTCAATATAAATGTTAAATGAGATCAACGGTCAGAATCTCACCTAAGTTTCTGATCAGAATCCTTTGGATTTGAATTCCAATCTGATTTTCCAGATGTAAACTTTGAACAGCATGTTCAGTTTGCCGGCAAATTGTTGGGGGCCAATGTTCTGGTTTCCTCCTTGCTAGGACGGATGTCCAAAATATTGTAAAGAATCCAGTCGCCCACCCATGGCCAACTGCGCTGAACTTGGGGTTGCCTTGTTTCCTTACTTGCAATACGCAAACCACGAGTGGCCATGGGAAACAAACACCCTCGCCTTTTGCTGGTTGATTGTAAACGTAACCTTCTCCAAGAAAGGGTCTCACTGCAGGGTCTGAGGGCATCCACTACTCATGCCCAAAGATTGCAAATTACACGAGGGAAGGCTTACCTGTGTTGCATACATTTGTTCAACCATCTTTCTTTTCAAAGGTGGTTCTCTCGACGGATCCTTGAGAATGGTTCGGGCATGGAAAAAAGCAGTCTTGCCTTTGGTTTCCCTTTCAACCAACCCAAAACGGGGTGGAAGCCTATCCCCCAGCCTTTCTCCACCGCACCAATTCCCGATTTAACAAACCGGCGGGTCGCCTCTCGTGGCTTTGGCCTCGGTTCGGTCCGGAGATGTTTCCTGTTTGGGCGGCACTACCGCGTGTGGCACTGTGGGTGCCACTTCATTGAACATCGCCCCCCACCCCCCAAAAGGGGGAGTAATGTCGTCTTGAAGCAGAACATGTGGTGCTTGAATCACCCAAGAGAAATACCAGGACCCTGGCAAACACATACACACACAAACGCGGCTGGTTGGATACAAAGTGTCAAGCGACTTGAAGTGAACACAACAGATCATTCAAGCTCCCTCGACTTCTGGATACACTGATATCCGTGATAGGGGACCTCCAAAAATACTCACTCTGCTGCCCCATCAACACACTCCAAAAAGGCCACATCAAAACACTGCCACAGGGCACGGCACTGTGGGTGCCCTCCAACCCACTAAACCGGGGTTTCCTAGAGAGCATCTTCCTCGAAAAGCGGCCATTTCCCTGGTTCCCCAGTCGAATACTCCCAAAAGTGAAATACCAGCGCGGCAGGCTAAGGTGTCGGCTTCTGCTGCCGTTGCATCTCTTCGGCTCTTGCCTGAAGCGTGGTACCTTCCCTCCAAGGATCCCAAAGAAATGGCCCCAGGACAATGAAGCCAGGAAAAGAATTCGCCAGGTGACAGAGCAACGGGGACGGGGAGAGTACTTTTACTTCTGGTTCTCAAGTTGGATTCCATACCGATCCCAAGAGCAAGCCAAAACCAACACCGGACCACTTTAGGGCACATTGGCATACATGGAAGGAGGGCATAAATTCCGAAGAAGCCCATGGCAACCGCAGCCGGGGGAACGAACATGATTTGGCCCACGAAACAGGGCCGCTCCAAACCCCGTGTAGAAATTTGGCTCCTGAAGGAAAACCCGGCTCGAAGCAACCCCGAGGCAGCCAAGAAGCCAAAATTGGACAGCAACTTCCCTCTCCGGGGAATGCAACGGTTGAATACTCCAGTGACAGGTTTTGATTGTGGCTCGGAAAGATGCAGTGCGAAGACTCTCACATACAGTAGTGTGGACTTGATGTCATGGCTTTGCTCAGCATACCTCCCCGTGCGCGAAGGACCATGAAAGAAAAGGTCTTTGGAACCTTGACCTGACTAAGAGAGCAAACGTGGAAAACCAGGTCAAGAGCTCGGTGCAAGTGTCACTCTCTGCCCCTCTTCCAACCTTTCCATCCGGCCAGAGATATCTGGGATCCTCGCCATGTTGTACTCCTCGCTTGCGTCAGAAGAAAAGGACATCCCTTTTGGGTTTAGAGTTTGGCTTCGGACAGATAGCCTCTGCTTTGCTGGTTCATGACAAATCCAGGCCTTCTGAAATTCACATGTTATCGCTTCTTTTACTTTTGGTCAGCAAAAAACCACTGGTTCCAAAGGGAAATCCAACGAGGAAAGAGCACCCCCCTTCTTGTTGCTCCGGGTTGCCATGACCAACCCTCAAGTTGGTTGGACATTGGGATAGCAAGCCGGTGCCTGGGTTCAATGGGTGACACCCCTAGAACTAGCTTTGAACAAGTCCGAACTTTTTTGATTCATCTCCTGTCCACTAACATGGAAGGGAGGTTCCTCGAAGACTACTTTCCTTTTCACGGACCCTCTGGCGGATGGACAGGAGGGTACTGCTAACATGTGTTTAAAGTCCGGGAGATTCCCCATCAATTTGGAGGTGGGACTCCTCCAGGGAGATGCGAGCGGCGATGCTGTCGCAAGACATGCTGTCCACCACCGTCAGGCGCCTGCAGCGCCCATCTTCCGATTTTCCACGCGCCAAACAATGTAGGGAAACGTGTCCTGTTCTTTCACTTGCAAGGTTCAGTAGGGACCATTTGGGGATTCCCCTACAGCAAACCATAGGGGATTGCTTATCTCGGGGTCATTCCATTTCTCATTCCCCACCAATTGAGCCAAGTTAAGTCCTAGTGGTTTCCCTTCAAATTATCGAATGGCCCCAGCGGTTCAGCTGAATTTGGCAACAACTTCCAACTAGGATCCCCCAAAGTTGACTCAGACCAGTCAAGCGACCCCACCCATTCAGTCCACCGAAAACCTCGGAATTTCCTTCGGACATTCATCAACTCACTTTCCCTGTGTTGTCTGGCTGGAAAAACCTCGGAAACTTGGGTTTGTATTTGTGCAAATGTTTGCTTGCACCTAAATTTGTCTTCTCACGCCAAAGTTGACTGAAGTCCAGGATCTCACGGAGAGGGGCAAACCAAGCGGCGAAACAACTTGAAATCCACCTATTCTGGGTGAACTTTGGATGGTGAAATGGCTGGCTCGCTGTTGATTCCCCTGAAGATGAGGGAAGCTGGGTGAACCTGGGTGAACCTATTGCTTTCAGCGCTCTCCACCGACGGATTTCTCAAGCGCGGCAGGGGTTACTGGAGCTTGGAGATGATCTCCTCCAACCTGGCCATCGCTTCGGTTGGGTCGTCCATTTTGTTGCAACCCCCCCTGGCTTGGGGTTCTCTACTGCGGATGGGTGCGAAATCCGCTTCTCGCACCACCGTTCAGAAACCCTGGAAAGATTTGATTCAATTGAAATACCAACAAACCGTGGTTTCAACCATGCTTTCAAAGCCTTCAGGATTTCGTCCATCCACGGTATTTTCTCCCTGGCTTTGTGCGGGTGGTTTTTGAAGGGTACCACAAACGTTGCCCCGGTTAAGAGGACGGTGCCTTGGGTCCCCTTGTTTTGACACGTGGAAACGCGGAGCTCCGTCCCTAACTGTCCCTAGCTTTGGCAACCGCTGTCCGAACTCCCAAACTTGGATGAGCAACCAAGGACCTAGGACCTGGAAAGAGGCTTCACCTTGCGAAGATAAGTCCCCACACCAGGATCAAAGGGGCTTTGATCCAAGGGTTGCCAGCGAGCCTTTGTGGGGCTTGGGACAGGACACTCTGATCAGGAAAGGTTCGGAACGAACCTTCTGATTGAAGGGGCTCCGATCGAAGGATTGTCATCGAATCTTTCTCGAAGTGCAGATACAAGTCTGATCTCGCCTCGCCTTGAAGGGACAACAGGGTTTCCTATATTCCCCGTAAAAGCATCACTCCTGCCAATGCAAACACACTTTAAATGAGCCCAAAAGGTGCTGTTCAAAACCGGCAAAAACTGGATCAACACTAAAACTTAAAGGTTAAAGTTCTCAGGGCTCCAAACGACGCCAATCCTCAAGATCGTGTCTTCTGCGCGGACTGGCTTTAACAAGTCGGAACCTTGCTTGCCACCAAACTGGTCTTGCCATGAAGCATCACCAGAAAGTCGGGAATTGAGGGATTCCCCTTCTGGCTTTGCATCTGAATTGGTGGACGCCATTTAGGTGGGGATTCATGTCCACCAACCACCTTTGACGGGCCCCCCATTTAAATTCATAGCCATTTGAAGACAAGCCCCTGAATGAACTGATCTTTGCAGCCTTTGGTTGCGGGACACACGACAAAGGACTACCCCCAACAACAATAATGGATAGAACCCTTGGTTTCATGCAAACAGTTTAAATTCGCAGGTTGAGCTCGGGCGACCAGCCCAAAGCAAGGTTTCCGAAATCCCAGGGTGGGCATGTTCATGAAAGGCTAAGGAAACCGTTCACCAACTTTCTACCTCTGGGTTATACGTCGATTTGCCCAAATATAGAAACCAAACCTCAAAACAACTCCCGCGGAACATAGGCAGGCATACCATGGTGAGATGGAGTTCGTGGGAACACGCCGCAACCTTCAGAAACCATAGTCATCTAATATGGCTATGGCCAAAGCATGCCAAAGGAGCAGCCTTGCAAACAAAGGATCCAATGAAATCCACTGGGCAGCCGTCTTGCCAGCAAGTGCTCGTCTGATTCTGCAGGATTCCAAGCAAGGCGGCTTTGCTTGAGGTCACTGAAGCTATTTGCCTGGCAAGCGCAAATCATGTCTCGCCAATCCGTGGAGACATCGACAGGCCATTGGGCGCTTCTTCTCCATTCAGAAATCCATGTTGTTTCACTGGCCCTGTTGGACTGCCAAATTCCCCCCGGTTCCAAGGGCGGAAGGACAAGAACGAGGGGGCTTCTAGGAGGCAGTTCTCCTCTTTTGATCCGAGACAATTCCCCGTCATTTGTGATTTGGCGACTTGCGAAACAGCAGCTCAAGTGTTTAAGGATTGAAGCCATGACAGAAACTCTGTTTGAAGGAAGCCGTGTTCTACCCTTGCGGTCGGGTTTTCAGAGCAACCCTAATTGAACTTCTGAAGTTTGTGTATTGGTTCTACGTCTCCCTGCGGTGAACAGCTAGTCACTCAAGTCGGCGCTGCCCAAGGCTCATAAGCCTGGGCCGAATTGTCGAAGGTTTAAGAGAAAGAGCGGAGCAAACGTTGCTCACAAAATCCCATCCGTATATTTTCCCTTTAAACCTTACCACAAGGACTTACATGAAATGGCCCAAACGGTGATGTTTAAACCTTCGAGGAAACAACTCGCGACCTCTAGGGTCCCACGTGGGGGTGGGTTGATCAAAAGGTCCTTTACATGGGATGACCATTGGTTGGAAAAACAAAACAAAAACAATACTTCAACACCGTGGGAAAAGTTACCCTTGGTCAAAACTGGAGGGGCCAAAGGGAATATCGAGACCCCACTTCCCGCTAAAGCTTCGAACTGCTTCTTCGCGCCTCCTGGCGGAAGGCCACCGCGCAGTACCGGGCCACCAGTGCTGCCACCTGGCATTAGATGGCTGAGCAGGCCATGGTTGAACCGAATGGGCTCCTCTCAAACTAGGGGAACTCCCCCAAAGAAAAACAAACCTTGAAGCCAGCCCCAGAAAGGGTGCCTCACAAACAGATACATCCTTATGTCTGAAGTCCTGAAAAAAACATGACGATCTCTACTAAGCACAGGACTTTGACCATGGCACATGTGTTCTCAACAATAAGACTCAAACCCCTTCAAATGGGTGAAGAATAACGTTTTCCACGTCATGAGTGAATCAAACATCCCACTAAGCTCACCTTCCAACTGCTCATCAAATCAACATCGGCGGGGACCCTTTAGTGGCCATCATTCACATTCGGATTTGTACCATGTTTTGGAGTTTCTTCAGTAAAATCCATAGTGACACGGGCGTCTTCAAAATCGCAAATAGATGCCCCGAAAAAGAAAGAAAGAACCAAAACTGGTTAGCTTCCTTTTGGTTTCCGTTTCGCCATCCAACCACCCAGGCGTGTGGATTTCCATTGTGCTACGTTCCCAGTGGATCCATTTACCTGTATAGCGGGTAACCAAGGGAACCACCCGTTCAAAACCAAATGGAAAATGGCTGATTATCTACTATACTGGTAACTGGGCTCCGCTGGGTTTTTCAGGTTGGCTAAAAGGGGAGCCACAACAGAAACTACCATCTCGGAAGCTCCAAATCCTTATCCGCCCGCCTCCCCGCACTTGGCGCCCCAAAGACCCCGCCGCACCGCGCTGACGGTTGGGCCGACCTGGGGGTTTTCCAACCAATTCTGGTGGCGTTCGGAGAATGAGGGCCAACAAATTGACAGAATCCCGTTCTATAAGAAACGCAGTCTTCCAAAAGGGGTCTTATTTTCTGGCCGAATTGGACATTGGGGGATCTCCTAGTAAAGGACCTTCACTCCTGGGTGTGTTTTGTGTGTGTGAGAGTGTGTCTGGGCATGTTTGTTTTGTTCTCCTTTCTCAATACTTGCTCTTCGGGCTTGGGCTTGCTTGGACCAACCCCTTTTTGAAAGATGTTTCAACCAGTGCTTAGACATCATCTTCTCAAGTGCCCACCCAGTCGCAATTTGGAGTCATCTCTAACAAACAGCCCTGAGATTTTGGAACCCTCGGTATCCAGAATTGTCTTCGTACTACTGGCTTTCCCCTTGATTTCCCCGTCATGTCCTTTTCATGTCTCGGCATTTTTCGAGGATGTCCACCAGCCCCCAGTTGAGTTCCATGGGAGAGAAGTGTTCTTCTTTTCTGGTAGTTGCCTTCAAAGAGACCCTCACCAAAGAAAACAAGCACTGGATAATCTTTTGCCCAGGGAAGCACGGGGAATGGAGAGACACAACCGGGCGGACGTGTTGCAAGGCCTAGCGGCGCCGATGGCAGGTTGAAGGGAAGCCCTCCAAAAGGTTGAAACGAGCCACGCTGAAAACGAAAAGAACGCAGGTTACTATGGATGCATCCTCGATGGTTACAAAGTCCATTTCGCGATTGAAATTGGTGGCATAAGCATGGGTTTCACGCAAGTGGTGCAGGTTTCGTCCACCAGTAGGTTGACGTTTTCAGCACTCCTTTGGCATGGGATGTTCATCTCAGTCAACGGGATACGTGGGAACAGGTCTGAGCCTTCTGGTTCCATCGAGGCAATGGCCCAGTGGACCAGCACGTGCTTCGTGAGGCCGTGATAGCTACACCTTGGCGAACAAGGCCAAACGGGAGCGGACTTTGCACTTGCACTTGCAAAAGGGGTAGGTGTTTCAATAATTCAACCCACTGCGGTCAGCTCTGTGTTTGCCACTTTAACATGGCCTTTCCAAAAGTCAAACCATGAACTCTTGGGAAACCAAAGGGGCACTCCTTTTTACCTTTTTGCTTGGGAAGATTCGGTCTATTAGTTGTTGGCCCCCATTGATTGGGGGTACTTTGCCCTTCAAGAGGCCCCACATCGTTTTCTGTTCAATCTGTGGGAGACTGAATGACTGCTGGCTTGGACCGTTTTCCTCTGAACCCGGCACAGATCCACAGCAAAACGTTGAAGCATAAACCACATTTGTCCCTGTGGCGAACTAAACACTGCAGGAACTTCCTTTCGTCTACCGTTTCGGATTTAAAGGGAATCAAACGCAACATACCAGTTCTTGGCGTTTCCACACCTGCCATATACAGAAAATCAAAGTTTCTGACAACCCAGGTTTGGTCATTTCTGGAGACAAAGCCAACACTAATTCCGGTCGTGTCAGGGGGTGATGGGCAAAAAGATTCGTCCACCTCAGGTCCTCAATGAAATTCACCGCCAACTATGAGACAAACAGGTCAAAATGTGGACTTTGGGCTACGTGACCTGGAGATGAAAGGCGATCACCGTTTGGGACCTTGAAAATCGCTCATAGCTCCTGAAACATCACCCCAAAGGAAGCTCACACTAAATTGGCCGCTTGGTGATTTTCAAAATCAGCAGCGCACATACGGTGACCCTGCTAAGCGCTTGGCCCCATTCTGCTCATTGAGCCGCCTCAATTCGGTCGATGCTTGCTTGCTGATACTGTCGATTGATGAATCAACCAGGGGACATCCTGGTCTGAGTTAGCTAGGGTCTAGGGGTGTACTATGTCATTGGGATTGGCCAGGGTCTGCAAACCCTGCGCCAATTGCCATGATGGAACCTGAAGGAAGGAGTTCCTAAAGGCTCTTCTTCACGGGTAAACACATTGTAGTTCGTGAAGCTAACATCAGGCGGGAACAACGCTCCCAGGCTCCCAGGCTGCATTTCTGATTTCTCTGTGACAAAATCACCTGATTGCAGGTTAAAGGCAAGCAACCCCAATTTCTGACCTAACCCCTAAAAATAGAACCGGCATATTGGGCCCAGTACTCACAAACAGTCAGCAACGCCCCGCTGAAACAGGTAACATGCACTCGGCAGCGGAAACTCGGGCTTCAGAAACCGCCGGATGTGCGCAAAGGGGACGCGGAAAGTTGGCCTCACACCCACGTTCACCTTTTGTACATACGCTATCCACAAGGGACCCGGTTTCGGTTCGATTTCTGGAGAAAGAGGAGAAAGAAATGCTACCAAGGATTCAGGCGTTGCTTTTTCGCTCCCTGTTGAATATGGAGGAGCTTTCTGATTGAAAGGTTTCTATTGTCATGTCCATCCCGAACTTTCCATGAGGTAAATCTTCTCATTCTGTCCCTTATATTTAACTGGACGCCCTTCGCATGATCTTCCACCCTGAGTCTAAGCCGAACCGTTCAGGCTTCAAAGCCCCTTCGCTTTGATACCGCTCGTTTGAAGAGGATACCCAACGTTTCCCTCAAGCATTCAAATACTGTGGATAGACGACATCCTGCGTCGGTTGGTTAATATGGTTTATCTTGTCCCAGTCTTCACAGGCTTTACTCCATCCCAGCTGGTACAGTATGCTGTGCCCATAGGCGTCTTTTGGACAAATAGATGGGCTTCCCTGCTAAGTCGGCATAAAATCAGTTTAAATCAGTTGAACCCATCTATTCCTGATCAAACTAACGGATCAAAAGAGCACCTATACCTTCAATCCCTTTGATGGTTTCAAAGTGAGGCAGGATTTCGTGCCAATTTTGTCCACCCAACCGAATGTGGCGAGCGTGGTGCAGCTTTGGCACCCCGGCCGAAAGAGAGCCGCACCAGGCCGAAGAGTACCCGATCCGCTGCCAAGTGCTCCTCAGTTTGAACTCGAAAAGGCTCACGGGACTTGAGGTCTCTTAATGGCGATAAAAAACACATAAGTTGTTCGACTTGTTCTGGCCAACATACTCTGGAAACGAGTTGCCAAGCATTGCAGGGTAACCTGAACTGGGTCGTTTGATGCCTAAGTTGAACGTAAATCCCTCTGCGCTCTTCAACACTGCAAGTTGAAGGGAAAGGCTAGAACCTTCATCACGGGTGGGACCCTCCCCCCCCTTTTCGCAGGCTCTACCCGCGCCTTCATTTGGTCGAAGCCACCGGAGCCCGTCTTGTAGACATTCAGCCTGTCACAGCTTCGTGAGATACAGGGGTTCGGCTCCCTAGCTAGCAAGTGGCAATTCAGCTGGACCTGAAATTAAAGGGTTACCCTTTTGGTCGCTGGTTGGACATAAAAAAAAATCACGGGAAAAGCAACTAGTAAATACATCATTTAAACCCTTGAGCAGTGGTTCGGGGGCAGTGGACACTGCCCTAGATGCAGGTTCCATGTTGGGTGGGAGGCGAAGCTGCATCGTTCAGTCTCTTCTGCGCCAACTACTCTCTCGAAGATTGATATGGAACCACGCAGCAAGTCCGTTTAGTGACTGTGTACAACGCAGGACAGCAGAATCCCAAGTTGGCACAATCGCATTGAAATGAGAGAGCCCACCCATTTGATTGTAGAACATTGTTTGGGTAGCCTGGGTGTTGTGCAGGGCATCGTGACCAGAACGCTCTGCAAGAGTAGCAGGGACAACCCAAAGGGTCGTTAATCTCACCCAAACAGCTGTGGGAAGCAAGCAATTTCGTGACTGGGATTCCCAGATATGCAGTGAACACTTGGGCTTTAGCACCACTTTCACATGGCCGTGTCTTTTCTTGAACGTAAATTACTTTGTGTTTAAGGAATCAAGGGACACCGCCCACTCGGGGTTCCGATTCCTAGCAAAGGTCCTATTTTGGTGAAATCGAAGGCCCTGGCAAATGGGGCATAACACCGCTCCGAACCAGTGGAACCCATCTATTTTTCCAACCAAACTAACTTTAAAAGGACACCAGTGATTCCTAGACGAACCCGCATGAACCTTCGGATGCCTTGCAGGGTCCAGCAGCACCCAATTGGCGAGGCCATCCTCCGCCACCTCATGGAGTGCCTGTGAGCGACGAGGCGACCCGTTGAAGGAACAGCGAAGGAAAACATCGGGGTGGGGGTAACCCATTGGGTAACCAAACTGTATGAGAACCCAACCTATATGCATCACCTTTTGGGCCAGGCTGAATTTGGGTTGCCACTGGTGGGATCTGGTGGGATCGCAGGACAAATAAATACTTGGTTCAGCTTGTTGAGGGACTCTTCGGGATCCACCAGGCTCAGGATTCTTCATGTGGGGTCGAGATTAAAGTAAGTTCCAACGAGTGTCAATGGAAGAAACAACACATAATCCCAGGCCTTTCTGGAAACACCTGCATTGGCAAACAAATCAAAAAGGGCCTGACAATACTTATGTGGTGTATAGAGACACGTAACTCAGGATTGCAGCCAAAAGCACACGGCAGGAATTCGTCATTGGCCAATTCGCCTGGTTGTTTTTTCAAGATCCTGGGAAGGGAAGTTATTCCTAGAAACATGCATGCTGCATATGTTTGAACAGTTGCCCCGTTTGCCGAAGGTCACTTGCCTTCCAAAAGGGTAGGGGCTTCTTCAATTTATTGTCCTGCTTGCTGTCGGAATCCACGCACCTATACATCTATGGATCCAAGAGCTCAAGCTTCTCCAAAATACCTGGGATATTTTTCAGGTGACCCCTGCATCACTTTGGAGCAGAGTTACCAACCCCCGGTCAGTTGACGTGAGGTTAAGGTGAGTCCCCCACCTGGTTTCGTGGCTTGTCCCTATGTTCCTCCCAGCTGGATAGACCAAATGGGATGGGAAGGACCGCATGCCAACTTCAAGCTGTGTGGCTTGGTCATTGTTTGGAGGTTCACAGCAACTCTGCTACCGTTTCTTTCCCTGATTTGCCAAATCAACATTGAACTGGATTCTCAGTTGCCCAAAGCCGACCATGTGACCTTCTCGGCCAAAACAAGGGATCCCTGTGAAGGAACCTTCACCATGCCCCCCCAAACGTCATGCCGCTTGCCCAGATTGTTTTGAGGTTCGGAGAAATCCTTCATCTTCACTCTACTGGGTGGTTTGGTTTGGTTTCAACACCTTCCCCGTTTGGTTCAAAAGGGAATGGGTTTTGCCCCCCAAACCCACCAATCCAAACCACCAAAGGAGTACCTGAACCCCGGGATATTTTCACAGAACCTCAAGTGCTAGGCTCGATTGCAAAGCGTGGCTTTGCCTCTTCCAAGCTCAGCACTCTCTCGTCTTCCGGCCTAAAGCGAAGTCCGGCAAAACAACGCAGGGCGCTCGAACCAAGGGAGCACCCTTTCGGGGGCGTCTATACAAATCAAAAGGACAACCATTTGTTGGGCTCAATCGTGACACATGGAAACCCCAAAACGATTGGAGGCCTTCCGCGGCCCCCTTTTTGGGATGGGAAACGTGAAGACCCAAAGCTGAACACTCCGCATTTGGGGCTATATATATATATCTATAATATTATATATAAGATGCATTCATCAAGGCAGCGATGAGCCGCGCGCATGGACATGCTCGTCAGCTTGCCTCCAGTCAGGTTCCATGTGTTTCTGGGCTGCTTTAAGTTCCATGGGTGGGAGTCAAAAGAAGAAGCGCTATCAAATGAGATGCACTCAGTTCACCCATCAGCATCTGGCGCCCAACATGTATCTTGATCAAACCAGCAAAAATCAGTCCGCCTTCTGTCCGCACATACTTGTCTATTTGTGGGGCACGTACAATTGCTGGGTTTCCTGCCTGATGTCCTGTGATGTATCAAGGGCGTTGAACATTGCAATGGTGCTTTCCTACGAAATCACACACTTGGAGTATGGGTGTCGTTTAGGGGCCTAACCGAAGTTCAAGAATCCAACGGGTTCAGCTTCCTCCTGAATATTGTGCATACTGTCCTCCAAAACTGCAACTACCCGGGTCGTCCGCTTCGATTCCTGATATGGCCTCACATTGTTTCTGTGCCATGGTGAAGAAGAAACAACTTCTCCGTGAGGTCTCTTTAGACCCTGTGGTACGGCTACTGGGGATGGTCCCAACATCGTGTGAGGCATTTACCATCCCTGGCATCGTTCATGGGAGGGTTGTTGAAAGATCTGTGGATTCTTGCGAACCCTTGCCCAACTCAACTTGGAGTGTCTGAAAGTTGCTTTGAGGACTCCAACTAGAAGCCCCTGAAATCATTCAATGTCTGGTTCTACTGACACGTTAACAAGAATTGTGGAGAACACTGTGCTCTAGGTAAGAGGGCAAATGATGCCAACCCCGGAATAATAAACCCTGCGAATAGGTTGGGGGGTTGTTAGTGTTCCCCTGGAAAGTGAAGGATCTCCTCAGGACTATTGACCAACCAGGGATTGCTCAATTCTGGGTTGGCATTGAGCCACTCATATCATTTGCAACCACGACTGGGTTTCAATCACTCTTGTCTAATCCTCACTCTTGTCTCCTCCAAAGGTCTCTAACATGACGGCTCACAAGTTTCCGAGGCCTTCGAAGTAGTCCCCAAAGAATTTGGCCATTTCTGATTTTGTAGAAGAAAAGCGGATAAACACGTCGATTTGCTTTGCTCAGTAGAGAATCAACAAGCGTTGTGAACTTGAATCGTTTGGGATCTCCTTAAGTGTGACTCTAAGGAATGCTTCTCGTCGCGGTCACTCGCCTGTTCCCTACTGAGAACCAACTCAAATCCCTGGTGGCCGTTGACAAAAGGGGACCCCCGGCCCAAAACTCCAAAAAGAAAGGAACACGCACAAAAGGAGGCACCACTAGGTGCCTGAGGAACAGCTCCATTTCGGATTCCGAAACTCCTCCGAGGCCGCAGCAGTGGGGCCATGTCCGACTTGGGCTCCTCCCAGACCCGGGACCCGGTGGGTTGGACATTGTGCCATGTTTCACCGGGGCGCCCTTTCTGATGATTGGCTTCAAGGGGAAACCCCTCCAAAAACAAGGCAAACACGGTCGACGGTCACCACTGGAGGCTCCTTATTCCAAGGGTAACTTCCTGATTTGAACCCTGGGAGCCTGCAATGGGCGGGGGACTCGGTAAACTGGTGGGTACCCTTTTGACTGCCGCCCAGCAAAAGTGGCCCGGATCTCCCGTCCATGTGGTGCCCCAAATTATCTCCCATTTGGGGCCAAAGGCCGTCCGGGCTCGCCTGCAGCATCTGTGCCTCCGCGGCACGCTGCTGCGAGGCGCGCACCTGCAGCGAGAATGGGAGTTGAGGGGTACTTTGAAACTCAATGTTATAGAAACAAAAACCATCTATTTGCTATTATTTACGCTTGTTTTACAGGAACAACAACAACCAGATGCTATTATTTAATTACGCCAGTGTGTCTTGGGGTTTTCGCCAAGCGCACTGCGCACGTGGGGTCTGCTAGGATGTGTTTTTCAGGTTGTTTGGAGGTGCGGAGGCTTTGGCTGTGGCAGTTCTATCCTAATCACCATTAAGTCGGTGTGTCTTCTTGGGAGGGCACCCCTTTTTGGATGGCTTTACAGGGAAACCAAAAGGAACCCCCCCATTTTGGGGTATCCTTGAAAAAGACACGCCCAAGTGGCACACAATCTGAGGGGTATTTCAAAGTTGAGATACCCTGTTGCAACCAGTAATCGTGGTAGATTTTTTTAGGTTTGAGGATTTTGGCAGGAAACCCACCAAACAAAAAGGGTAGAAGAGCGCCACGGAGCATCTTGGGAGGTGTGGAGGACATATTTTCTTGCCGTAATCCCTTTTTAAACTTTAAGCTCTTCCAAACAACTCTCCTTAAAAGTTCATCGAACTTTTGCCCAAATAGGGGATAAGTCCCTGCTACACCGACTGAGGTTTCTACCGAAACTGTTTTTTTGCACTTCAAGCCACGAACCCAAGAGATGGTGTATTTGCACTACTTAAGGTGCCAGCAAGCAACGAGAGCAGATGTACATAGCTCTTGTTTCGTATATATGTTGTGTGATACACTTGAGCAGGGTTGCGCCCTGACATTGGTTCCTTCGCACTTCTATTCAAAGACCTTTCCAACGAGCTCCGCAAAGGGGAAATTCCCTCGCACAGGGTTGTAGGGACACTGGATGTTTGGGGGGTCTGTAAAAATATGTAAAAATTGAACACATACCACCCCTTTGGTTCCTTTTAGGGCAATTGAACAAAACATATGGAGATTGACTGCACCAGTTGGTAGGTGGTTTGTTAATCATTGCAGGGTTTCATAGATCCACGGCCCCTTCCGCACACTTCGTAGAATTGAAGTGCTTGCCGCTTGCTTTGACTGAGCCTAGCAAAGTGCAGTCCATCACAACAGCTTCGCATGCTTCCTTCTTTGGCTTTGCCATGTTGAGATTCTTGGTCAGCTCTGCGTTCACCACAGCGGGATTTGCTCCCAAGTAAGAGAAAGCTTCAGGAATTTGGAAGGCAAAGGATCCTGAAGTCCAGGAGCCCAAGGAGGAATTCAAGCCTTCCGCCATCTCTTGTTGCCAGATTTTGGATTCGTGCTGCAGATCTTGGAGCCCTGTGTGGCAACAGCAGGAAGGATCTGATTCTGGTTTACTCTTGGAAAACCCTGGTCACAGGGTTGCCTACTGCCAAGATAATTCTGGCTTTCAGGAACTTCTTCAGCAAGTGGCTGGCAAGTGCATCATGGCGAAGGGCTTTTTTCTTTGTTCCGCAGGCAAGGCCTGAATTGGATTTGGTCCACCCACGGTGGCTATTGATCGCATTAGATGTAAGCTGAGGTGGCGGCCATGTTGTCGTATTCGCTCTTCAGGCCCTGGAGCGCCACCAGCACCCCGAAGCATTGCCATGCGTAGCCGTTAAGCACTCAACAATGCAATGCCCTGTTGATGTTGGACCCTCGTTACATATGATCCCCGGTCAACCATTACCACACGAATCTTTTCCAGCTTGCCTGGCAAGTCTCCACATAGAAAGTAACACAGTAACATGCATCCCAACTCTGCCCCCCTGTCAGTCACCATGGTCCAAGTGATGACTATCCCCACAAACCCTTCCAGGGAAAGCGTGGGCCATGGGTGCGAGATCCGAGCGAAGATCCTGTCAGAGTCTTCGCACGTGAGCCCCCAATCGGCTGATACCGCCTTGGTTGGTTCCTGAGTGATTACCTCAAGGGATGGGGTGTTTAACAACCTCAAGATCCCGGGGTGAGGACAAAATGACATCCTATTTTCGATTTGATTTTGAAGGGAAGCCCACTCCAAGTCAAAAATCAGGGGGCACCACTCGAGGTCTGGTTTCTTCAAACAATGCCATGGTGAAAACTCCTCATGTGGGTCAGGGATTGGGAGGAACCCTTCTAATGGTTGCTAAATTCCTCAAGGGGTCGTGACTATCCCTACCACCCTCAAAGGCTGTTTTTGATCATGGCACAAATTGTCTCAAATTAGGGGGGTCCTTTGGCTTTGCCTCCAGCAAAAAAAAAAGGTTACCCAGAAACAACAACAGCCCTGTAAAGGCTCAGGAGGCTATTTTATGTGTTTGACCTCTGGTGTCTCTAAGTGGAGCCCCTCAAAATGGGTGGGGGTGGTTTGCCTTGGCTACTAACCAGCCAACCAAGCGAGCAATCAACCAAACCACAAAAAGGGTAGCCTCAACAAAAACACGCACTCCAGCCACCCGCTTCGCCTCAAAACTGATCTCCAATAAAAACCACGACTCGCGACTCGATTCGGAAGGCGCCGTTTTCACGGCCTGGAGGGAGTACTCCATGTGGTCTGCGGAGAAGAAGGGGATCAGGCGCTGGCGCTCAGCGAGAAAAACAAAAAACGCGGGCAGTCCATGTTTCTGAAGTGGAGTGTCTTGAAATAGGCAGCCCCAAAATGGGTGGGATTTCCCTTTGGTCTCCCTTTAAAACCAACCCGAAAGGGGTCCCCCCCCCCGCGAGGCGAGTGGGTGTCACCTATAGTGAGACTTCTTACTTTCAGCAGACAATTATGGCGAACATGACTGCGCTCATGCCACTATATTTTGTGGACTAATGGGATGTGTTTCCCCTGCAGATAAACAAAAATCCCGCACCAGTTGGTAGGCACTTCTTCTCAGTGTTCATAGGGTTTCAAAAAGGTCAAACAAGATTCACTGAAGTCATGTTGGTTTGATTTCGATTTCGCCCAAAAAGGACCCTCCCTTGCCCAAAGGAGCTGGAAATGCAAGTGTTGAGCCTTTTGGAACCAACATGGGTATGTCTTCTTTAGGGCCCTCTCGAACTGGTGGTTTTCCTCTCGATTTTTCCCTTCAAACCACAGAACCGATTCGTTGAGTGCGGGTCTGCACCTTGACCGAAAGCAACACAGGGGCAGCGAATGGCGACGCCAAACGGCCTGGCAGAGGTAATCCACGGTGAGCTCCTTTCCGGAGGTCACCTGCACAGCGATCATGGCTTCCCTTATAAAGACAAGTATGAAAGCAAACAAGCAAACAAAAACATAAGCAGCTATAAGTAAACAAACAATAATAAATAAAACAACAGATAATTACATAGTTTTAATCTGTGGATGGAAGAAATGGAGTTCAAACTTCAGAAATAAACCCCAAGCATGGAACCCCTGGCTAAATTGGGCCACTTCCGTTTGCCTCACTTGTCCCTATAGAGTTCATCTCCGTTCACAAGAAGAAAAGATTAATCAGCACCGCAATTCAAGGTTTCTGATCCCTGCGAAGCACCACCCCACCAAATCGAAACTCAACCATTTTCAAAACGCCCAAAAGGCGGATAAAACACACCCATGCTTAAACAGAAGCTTAAGTACTCCGCTGCTCCTTATTGAGCGCGGGTCTTCCCCCGGCGAACAAAACATGGATCAGTGTCGAGGTGACGCATGGGAAATTCAATTGCTTCCACGAGGTGCTCTCGGGGCCTTTCTGTGTCTGCGGATCCACCAAACACCAGCCATAGTCATTCGCACACAATCCTGAACTACTCGGGATCCATACCTGACCTTCATCATAGAACCATTTGTTTTACCCTCAGGTGGGCACCACTAGCGCAAATGCTCCTTCAACACCTCGCCGTGGGACAAATCACGATCACTCGCGCGGGCGCCTGCAGACTGGCATTCACGTCCCCGAGCTCCTTCAACACCTCTGTGGCACGCAGCATTTGGCAAGGCTCGAAGATGGTTTCCCAATGGGGCGGGGCCTTGTCACCGCGGAAAGTTGGCCCTAAAACGCACCTTTACAACTTTGAAGTGAGCAACCCACGCATGGTATGTGACAAGTGCCCAAAGCAACTCTACGCAGTTGAACGAAGAGATTAATAAACAAATTTGGAGAAACCAGCTTCCAGCTCGCATCACAGTCCCATGACAAAACATGCAGTTCTCCCTGCAAACTACTTACCTGGGAACAAAAAAATGGAGTCACCCAAGAGCGATTCCTTAAAGCAATTTTGGGGCGCCTAGCTAATTTTGGAGGAGGCAGCACCTTGAACCCTTGTGTTCCAGCCCCTTGTTGCTTGGACCACCAAAGTTTAAACATCTTGAAAAATGGGGAGGGGGGATGAAGGCAATTCTGGAGCATGCTGCGCCAAACAGCTCGTGGGCTTTGAGGTCTGGAAAGGGCCACTATGTTGACCTGATTTGCCAGAATCGGGTCGGCACCTGAATTCGAAAGTGGGTCCCTTTCTTGGCCAAGATCACCCTCACCCATCCCTACTTCCCCAACTATTGTCCCCATCTTGGAGACTTGTTTGGCTTTCAGCGACAGAAATAAAGTGGCATTTCCTTCATGGAAAACCTCGGTGTGTTTGTGCACGTCGACCGGGGACAATTCCCCTCCAGAAAGCATCCTGGTCGCCAGATATTCTTCTGCTCGCTCTCATTCAGCACGCCAAAGCCAGTACAGTACTGCGCCTGTCCCAAAATCTGCACGCCCAGCTCCAAAGCACTGCGACTTTCACGAAGGCGAAATGGGCGAGGAAGTGGGAAGTTTACGCTTGCTGTCAGCAGCTGTGTAATTGTCCACTGCCTGAGTTGGTTCCGAATCCCCGCTTCGGCCCATATCGCTGGGTTCCTGTAGGTGAACGATTGTCTGGTGCAACAAGCAAGGTGAAGCAACGGCGCAACACTTTGAATCGAAGAATCCGAATATCTCTACAGACTAATCCACTGTTCATTCTAAGAGGGCTTGCATCGCCCAACAAACGCAAACCGCGGGGAACATGTGTACAGAACCGCTAACTATGGACACTACATCAAGGTCACATATGTGTTCCGTTCTTCTATTCTGTACCAAGTTTGACAGACACACAAACACGCACACACACACAGGGTGCTCGATATGTCCAACCGAACAACCAACCGAACAACACTCACAGGACGCTCACTTTCAATTGGCAACTAAAACGTGACGTGATCCACGCTGTACTTGAGTCATTGAGGTTGGCAATCGATTTCCAAAGGGCGCAGTTTGAAACTCTCCAACGGGGGACATCGCCACCCTATGTGGAAATCCTGTACCCCGGCCTTTCTTGGTTTGACACAATCCCTCGGTTAGCAATGGAGTTGGGCCCCATGGGAACCCAAGAGAAATCAACCGATGAATAGTGGCAAGGAACCCAATTATTTCCTGCATATGTCTTAGTCGCTAAAATCGGCCCTATTGGGATTGATGGCCCTATGGGGGTGCTCTTGGCAACCATACTGTGGATGGACAAATGGATTTCACCAGTAGGGATTGGTGGTTTATCATGGTTGCCAACCTTGATTCAACTCGGGCTTCATCTATCTCAAGTGCGTGTTGTGGATTATGTTCACATAGAAAAACATGGGTCATTTGGCTCCTTGTCTAGGGACAAACTGTACGGTTTTTACCTGTGGAAGGGAGGGTAAGCTAGCTACCAGACAAGTCATAGTTGGTTGACTTTCAAGCAACCCCCCCTGCAAAAACAAGAAAGCACAGAGCGAATCCACCCACTGGGCCGGGCTGTTCTCAGATCCCCCGCCAAAAGTCGAGCACTCTTGGTGGTTTGCTGGAAACTACCACGAAACCAACTAAAACAATCTAAATAACCTGAGGAACCGGATGGCTGGGAACCACGAAGCAACCGGAAATCGGTATAAGGCGCTTGATGCCGGATGGGCACCTCCTGGCTCCTGGCGTTCAGCAAGCCCCGCTGGATGGCCTGCGAGCGACGGGAGCACAAATCACATCGGGTGATTTGGGAATTTGGTTCTTCCGCAGGGTGAAATGCAGGGTGAAATGCATATAATCGAATCTTTGAGGCAGAACCAATCCAAAGCAACCCTGAACCAAATCGACAATGTTCCTCCCACCCTGCTGGGTTTTGAAAGCACAACTTGTTCCTCAGTGGATGGTATCGTGTGCAATAAGTCATCAGGCTCAAAATTACATATTTGTCGGTGACCATTGAGCGTTTCTTGTGAGTCTGGATGCCAAGCTACATGAAGGGTCCTGAAACATTTCAACGCATAGCCATTCAAACGGAAAGTCCTGGCCAAAAAGGACAAGGCTAGCTCAGGAGTGCTCTTACTTTGCAAATCTTTGGCTGGATAATTTTGGGTTCCCTGCTTGAACTGGGCGGCTCCATTCTCAGTCGAAAAGGACAACAACCTGAGTGGGACAGCTGTTTTTCCCTAAAACCACGGGAACATCTAAGGTTGTGTCCACTGCCCCCAAACCACTACCCCTGCGGGAAATTGGGGTAGACAGCCTTAAACAAAGTGGCAAATGGTGGCTGCATATCCCTTTCAACCCCTGGGGGGTAGTGGTTTGGGGTAGTGGACACCATCTTCGAGAAACCATGGATATGGATGTCTTCTATGAGAGTACCCTTGTTGTGGTTCAATTGCGGGCTCAAAGGGAACCACCACCCCATTTTGAAGGCTCCCTGATTTTGACACACACACACCTATTTTCCACCTGGAAAGTTGGACTGCGCCGATTTACAAGCACTGTTTGCGGGTCAGCAGAAATAATGCTTTGTTTGGATCCCACAAACAGTGAACAGGAGCAACACCTCAAACAATCTATCTACATGTAACCAGCAACAGCAGGGTCAACCCAGTCACGTGTTTGTGATTAGCACTGAGTGGGACTTTTTAACGCGCAGTGACATCGACCACGTTTTGAGCTTTCGGAGGTTTCTTGGCCATGTTTGTCACTTCTTTCTAGCGAAAAGTTGGAACAGGCAAAAAAGGGCGAAGGTGAGTTGAGTTTGGCAACGACGTAAACACGTTGATGGTCAAACCCACAAATGCCACCGTTTGGGATTGGTGGATTGTCGAATCCGCATGAAACGCGGCCGTAAAGGCCTTGCCAGAAATCAACTCCAGAACCCCCACATCCGGTAGCTGGGATTTGAACGGGGATTTCCACATGGTCCCCTGGAAAGGTGGAGGGAAACGGCCCTTGTGAAAGGGAAACGCCCCAAACTTGAGTGGATTCAAACTAACAAAATCAACTAAAATGGTCCTCCAAAGTAACTAAAGTTTCATCTCAGTGAGTGAGGCTCCAAAAAGAGTTGAAAGGAATTAACCTGGAGGTATGGGAAATGTCTGCAGTTGAATTGGCGTGAATTTGCCCGTGCGAGCCAGGTTTTTATGTTCTTGCTAAGTATTCTAAACACAGGTACGGCTGGGGAGTCTCACTTGGATGCCACCCCTGACCCCCCTTCCTCCCTCGTCCTTCAACAAAGCAACAGCATTGGACTGTTTGATTCCGACGCTTGGCGTCTGTTCCTCCTTCATGGACGGCCGCCCTCTTCGTGCACTCTTGACCCGGGTGAAGTGCTGCTCAACTCCACTCTCCCGTCATCTTGGGCAGTCGGCTGAGTCGACTTGGCCAAGCAAGGCATGCCTGGTGAAGGCCATGGTGTTCCAGTAGCGACCAGAAGTTGGTTCCCACTGCTTCCCCAAAATGCGACGCCGCCGCTTTGCTCGAAAGATGGTTAGGAAGTGGGTCTATGATTACCTAGCATTTTGCAAAACTCAGGAACAAGGCCGGCCCCCGCAGCGTCGAACAGAATCAAGTGTCAGACCTGCCCCCAAAGTGGTCTTTCTTCAACGAACAACATTTCGAAAACATGAAATTGCAATGAAAACATGGAACATACACGGACGTGAAAAGGGATTTGGCGTTCTTTGATCCAGTTGGCTCGCAATCCCTTTTCGTAGGTGTGTCCTACACTAAGGGAACCCCCAAAATGGGCTTGCTCCCTGGAAAAGCTGAAACAGTTTGCCTTCCAAAAAGCTTGGGAAGGCTACCAAATTTATGCAACAGTACCGTTTGTAGATGCAACAAGCTTCCTGGTGTCCCTCCAAAAAGGGTACCCTTACAGTAAACAAAGAGACATCGCGACATCAGCGGATGCAGGGGTCCCCGCCGGCGTGCGAGCGCCATTGAGGTGGACCAAGACCATCTTTGTCCGCACCTAGGCCGCTGAAGCCAACCAAAACCGTGGGCAAATCAGCGGCTTCGTCTCAACACATTGTGGCTTGGCACGAAATCCGCGAGTCTCGCACCACGAAAGGAAACCGTTGAAACCATAACGTTTGTGGGTATTTACCGGGGAATCATCAGGTACCAGGGTTTCTGAACGGTAATGGATTTTGCCCATTCACAGTAGGGATTTGGACCCATAAAAAAGTGGAGTTTGCCCCTTCCGTGAACCAACCAAGGGCACAAAAAGAAAAGACAAGCCCAGCCGACATCTGGGTTGTCAAAATATAGACCCCAATAGCTGGCTTTCCTTGTAAAAGGTGATCCAGTGCTCCTTTCGTCCCAAACCTGGGGACCCCCCAAAAATGACTTTCAGAGTTAATCTGCCCCGATTTTTGTTTGGCATATTCTGAGGAGGAGACCCTAGGCATGGTTGTGGGTCATAGCCCGATTGTCCAAGAGTGACCAAACTTTTCGTTTACCACCAAAACGGTGTGTCCAACAAATACAAAAAAAGTGCAGGAACTCACAGAGTAAGGATACCAAAGTAAGTAACGTGGGCCGAACCCCTACTGCATCATTTTACGGGGGTGTCAATCTTCTACAGGTTGGACAACTCATTTTTGGGGTCGATTCCATTTACTCACTAAGCGGCTTGATCAGACAAAAATCAGACTTTTGCTTGATGGCCTTCCCAAAAAGTATGCAGTCCAGGCCAGGCAAAAAGGGGGGACCCTCACTCCAAAACGAAACTTACCTTCCAGGTATGTTACTGGAAGGGAGGGTAGAGGCCGGCTGCTCAAACGACCTGAAACATTGATGCCAGGAAATTGAAATCCGAAAGGCGGATTCAATCTTCGCTGAGGAAAAGATAGATTCAGGGGCCTATTTTATCTGAATTGGTCGAATTCACGTCACCTAACAAACCCCGCGTTCGCTTGTTGGTGGTTGTATGGATTTGTCTGATTGCGAGTCACTTGTGTTCACCAGTCAACTGTATAGATGTAGTTGATTAATTTCCTAGCTATGGTAGGAGTCAACGAAAACCGTGTGCTTAGCCACGGTGTGCGGTTGCCCGACCTGTGAAAATAGGCCCCCCCGTTTGCATGGATTGAAAAAACAAATCGCAAAGAAAGCCGTCCTGGATTCCACAATTTTGGGACGCACCTACATTATTTTGGTCTATGTGTTGTTGTTGAGGTACCCTTTTTGGGATTGGTTGAAGAGGGATATTTAGAAGCAACACCCAGCCATTTTTGGCCCCTTTGACCCATTCTAGTTAACCACCGCAAACCACCCTCCTGGACTCCATTCTGAGGCACAAATGGGTTTCTCTCACTGCCAACCAACACAGCGTCCACCATTGCAAGACAACCCCTGTCTCTTTTACGGGTACCCTTTTTGGTGGTTTTAAAACACAACCAGAAGGAAAACCACCATGTTGGGATTTACCAACAAAAGACACACCCATGTCTAATTGGAACCAGCCGATGACCCGGGGGGCGGGTCTGTCCCGTTTCGGCCCTGCTGGGGCCTGTGGCGAAGGTTCCGCCCCCCACCTGGAACCGCAGCAGAGCCCAGGCCACCTCAACGAATTCGGATCGGAGGCCAATCTCAGTCTAGAACCCAGTTATTTTCCTTATGGTTTTATGGCTCCCTCGCTAACCCCAGTGCCTCAGTCAGTTAACCAGGATTCATACTAGGTGTTTCATCATGGTTTATCTTGGCGGCTACCTACTGTAGTGGTAAGTGGAAGTGGGTACTATACTAATACAGAATGGAATTATCTTGGGCTTTGCTCGCCCGGTGCACCCGAACTGCGGCATTGAGTTTTCTTCCACCATTCGATACTCAATGGGAAGCCCGGAAGAAACGTCTGGTTTATTGACAGCCTTTAGTCATACATACTGTCAAAAAAACATTTCACACCACCTAAGCACCCCTGAAATGACTCGATTCCCCTGCAAAAAAAAACAAACGAAAAACAAAACACTGACCAACGTTGTTGCTTCAACCATGGGTCAAAGTGGTACGCCCGCTGCAAACAATAAACATACTTCCTGCAGTAAAATCAATTCCCTTAAAACCAAGGGAGATTGCAACACATATTCATTTCAGCGAATGAAAGGATGTGCTTCCAACTTGATGGATGCTCAGTGACCTTCGCAGCCTCGTCGACCAAGTGATGCTGCAATGTTTGATGCTTTTTGCCATCCCAAATGTCCTTTTACCACTCCTTGAGCCGCTCCTTGTTTTCGTCGGTAACTTAAGCTTTGCTTTTGCTCACTACATGCGGTATGTGCTCCGATAGGTGAATTTGCCGACTGCTCAAGGTTTCTTCAAGAATCCCTTGTGTTCACATTGGATGCATCATGCCGTATACATTCAAAACGCCAGTTTCGAGATGCCAGCGTCAACAAGGTATGAACGTAAGTTCCATGGCCACTCAGGATTAAATCAATAATTGCCATCCTAGTTTATATCAGAGGCTGGGCTTTGGGCCCGGGTAATTTGGTGTTGCCTCGTCCCCCTGCACTAGTCGGTGGTGAAATAGTAATTTGTGCTGCATGTTGCAACATGTTACAGCTGGTGTTCCCGTTGAAGGGAGCCCAGGATCAACCACTGATTGATTCAACATGGGGCTTTCAACAGACCACACACAAAACCTCGGTTCATGGTATTTAGGGACAACCCATGGTTGTCGAACATCTCTATGAGGGATCCCTGACCATCCCGTAACCCCATTGGCACATATGACCACTGTTCAATTTAGCATATGCTAAAGGCACATCCGGCACACTGAAAGAAGGAACCCAAGGTTCTCCCCATTGTCAGATTCCTACACAATTGGAGGGTTTTTGGGGGGTTCCCACGTAAGACTTGGTCCAATTTTTCTCCGGCTCGGCCACAGGCTGCTCGGTCATCCAGCTGCCGGCAGAGCTCCTGGCACCGTGATTCGATTCCTTTGGGAAGCTGACGATCGAATAATTTTAGCAGACGAACCTTGCCCTTGGTATGGTGCAAAAAACTACGTTCGTTGCAGCCCACCCTCCACTATAAAGGAACAGAACCACACAACGGTCAATGATCCGACATTGAAGCAATAGTCATGGAAGTGGATAGGATTTTGGGGCGCCCTTCCGGTCTTGGGTCAAGGCACGGGCAACTTCCCCGCTTTGACATCCGAACGTTTGCGTCCTCGAGGCCACCGACACCACAGGCCAAGACGCTGACCTAGGACAGTCTCAGGAGGTGCTTTTTGACGGATTCCGTTTCTTGGGAAATATCGGGTTTCTGCGCATTCACAGGGAGGGGTAGTTTGATTCCGGAGCTTCTAGAAATTCGAGGCAAGGGGGGCCTTAGTTTTTCATGAACATGAGCCGCAAGGTTGCATAGCCGTGCTGGACAGCCGCGGCAGCCTGCTCCGCCTCTTGTATGTGAAAGCCGGCCCAGCCTTCCAGTGACAAGTTGCAGCACTTGCCTCTGTGAATTTCAGCGGCCATGCGGTCCAGGGCATGGCTGGCACCGACGTCAGCACAGAACCCGAATGGCTCTTCCATGCAACTGCTCACCCACTGCACATGTGTTCTCGAAGCAGCCTCATGACGACCAGAGGCTGTGATACTCCCCAGAGGCAGCTAGGCAGACCTCCAGGTTTCCACAACAAAAGGCACCCCCCAGTTTTATTCTCCACCCAAAACGAAAAGGAACACAGGGGACCACTGAAGTCGATTTCTTGGTAGTTGATTTTCAAGCAAGGGAAAAACAGGCACCGAAGGTCTGTCTGCTTTAGAAGCCAATCAACTTAATCCGAAAAGCAACAACCGGGCAACTCAATGCCCCGTTCGACCCAAGAGCAAAACAATGGCAACCCAACGGAAGACAAAGGAAAGCGTTCGTACTCTTTCTGCCCCAATGGGTTTTGATAAGCAAGGGTCAACCCATTCAGAGAACTCAGGGAGTGAGACGGCCACCACAATTTGCGAGCCGAAGCTTAGACTTCATGATGAGCCCGTTTTACCCCCGGATCGATTGGTAACTTCGTGAATTTTGCGCAGAACACTCCAACTCTCATGCTGTTGGCAATTCGCTTTAAAGGGACACCTCCGAGAATGGCAGAAAGGGCACACTAGAGGTCTGGGTCTATGATTCATGGGTTCCCGCAGAAACGGGTGCCTTCAAAACAAGGGCCGAATCCCCGATGCTGGCTTCCCGACGGAAGCCGGCGTTGGCGCCCCTTTCACCGGGCGGTTGGGCGGCGCACAGGTGGCGCGCCGGAAGCGCGGCCTGCGCGCAGCCCTCCATCTGAGAGGGATTGATGCTTTATCAACCTTTCAGGGTTTCATCTATCCCAAGAACTGCCAGCAAGAACTAAGAAACCCTGGAATGAGTCGATTCCCGAACGCAATACCAACAAACAATGGCTTTGACCATGGTTTCATTTCGTGGGTGCGGCATGGAATTCGTTCACGGTAGGGTATCCACAGGCAAAGGACCTGCATCACAATGAGCTCATTTACCAGGTGCAGCTTGCTGTAAAATAGACGCAGCCCAAGGCCTTTTCCTGTAAGCTGGGGCATGTTCTAGCATGTCTTGGCATGTTGGCCTGGCCCTTCCTGACATGCGTATCCCAGTGCTCATTACCGTGGCAGGTGATTCTACTTGGTTAAGTGTTACACAAACCGTTGGTTCTACCAAAATGGCTTGGGTCTGTATAAACCCTTACCATAAGACCCAATCAAGCAGAACCACCCAGCAGTTCGGTCAGCTGAGAACTCAGGCTGCAGCTATTTGGGGGATTCGTCCTGACTGGCGCAAAGTTATGTCCAACTGCAAAACTCACATAGCGAAAGGCCCTAGCCCAGGTTTTGCGGTGAAACAGGTTCAATACTTTCATCATTGGGTGCAAACCAGGGGTCTGGGAATTTCCCCTTTGGGCAAACTATAAAATATGGCTGCAGTTGATCGCACCCAGCATTTCATCATGTCACTGCACGTTTGGGGTTCCCCACGTTCATTTGCATGCGTCTCCTGGGAAAAATAGGACAAACACATCCAGTAGTGCTAGATTCCTTTTAACACCCAGGGGAGAAAAATCAAGATTAATCTGAGCAAATGGACACCAAGGAGACTCCCCACAAGGTCGGCTGGATGTCAAGCAGGTTTGCCATGCCATCTTTGCGGCTTTCCTTGAGCGGGTCTTGGCTCTGGAGTCAGAGCCCTCAACGCTCGGAGGAATTGATCTACTGAGCATCTTGCAATTGGAACGTGGTCTGCCAAGACAATTCCAGGGTGACTCTTTTTCCCAAAACAGGGAGTCAAATGGAGTCAACAGGGCCCAGCCCCTTTTGGATTGAGACTAACCTCAAAGCCCGGTCCAACTTCGGCCCGGGACGGCTCGAGGCCTGTCCGGCAGCGGGAGAGCGGTGGCAGGAGCGGAGGCCTGGGCGAACAGATCACAAAATTCACGACGTTTAGACACCTTGAAACGGCATCCGGAAAAACTTTGGATTTGCTCGAAACGACCTTGGGACAGCAAGAGGGAACCAAAATGAAAGCAACCACAAGCCCCCATAAAGGTTTATTGGTGTCCAGTGTGGTCCCCTTTGAAGTTTCCGCTGGGGCGCCCTTGACAAGCATAGGAAAAAAGGAATTCACAAACGGGTGTGGCAATTTTTTGGGGACCCCCGGAATGGTGCATTTTCCGCGTAATACCAACCAAAAGGGTTCCCTAAAGAAAGACCGACCCGAGCACAAATTGATGGAGCACTCCCTCCCATATCTGTTGGTACTAACGGCCTCCAAGTTTTGGCTGCAAAGCATGAGATACATCCTCGTGCAATAAGCGAATTCACAAAATGGAAATCTGGAGAGGAGTTCGCAAACTGATCATGAAATGAAAATACAGGGTCAGGTAGAGGACCTGCGTGGAGCTCGTTTTGCCCGCAGAGATCGTTATCAGATGCCCAGATATGTGCGCGTAGATACGAAACAAACAGCCACATCGCACAATAGACAAATAAAACAAATAGATGAATCAATGCAGATCTGTTCTAAGTACTGGACAAAAACCCACACTTGGGATGGATGATGCCCCAAAATAATACGATAAACCACAAACTTCAACTGGTGACGATCGGCATGGATTTCGTCATTCAGTTTGCCGACCTGCTGGGGTTGGGAAGGTTTTGTTTTTTGGTTCGCGCACCTGGTTTGGGATTGTCCGTGCTTCGGTTGGGCCAAGCCAGACTTGACTTTTGTGAACGCGAGGTTGGATCCGTGATCCGAGCTAGAGAGTGTTCCCTGTTGTTTGAACGGCCACAGACCCACTAGTGAGATGCTAGATAAGCTGTGCCAGATTTGAGAGTTATTCTCTCCCTGGACTAGAGGAATGAATCAAGCCAGCCCCGGACCTGTTCAAACAACACAACAGCTGAAAGCAACGGGGTCAATAGCCCCGATAAGCTCAACGCTTTGAGTGGTTCGGAGTGCTCCCTTGGCGTTTTCGGGTAGAAGGATTCCGGGTCATGGTTGGGGATGCCACCTGGGCGTATTTCAACCATCTTTAAGTTTCCCATTTGGCTCGCGACAATTTTTGACCAAGTTTTAGGGTAAAGAAGGAAAAACGGCGAGATGCTTCAACCCCTTTGCGATTCTGTCCCAGATTATCACCCCAGGAAACATAAGAGGGGCCGTGTTTTGCACCTCACGTCACACTCCTATACTTTTCTCCCCGCGAAACAGGTTGCCTTGAATGTTCATAAACAATGTCAACGGGCCCATTTTCCCTTTGGTGATTCCCCATCCCCAAAAAGGGCATGCTAAAACTGGGGTGTCTTCAGATCCCCTGCTAAAAGTTTAGCTTCTAGTGGGTTAAATGGAAACTGAAACTACCACGAAATCAAAAAAAGCTACAGTAAACACAAAGGGAACCGGATGGCTGGGAACCACCCAGTAAAAGGAACCTGCACGGGCGATTTTGTTGCGAGCTTTGTGCCCCCGACTAGTCCAGATCTTTTCTCGAGACTTGGACCCCTCGAAGGAACGCGACTGGAAGTGAATCCCCACTCAAAATCATGAGTGGCCAATGAAAAACAGGGCCACCTTTGTTTGGTTAGATGATTTTCAAGGGAAACACAGCCCAAAACCAGTTCGAACACAGAAGATGCCCGACTGCAGGTCTGGGGTGAAGCCTAAAAGACAGCAAAGGAAACCAAAGGTCAAGTAGAGCAATGATAGCAATGAAATGGAGGAATCAACGGAACTCATTAAGATGATGGTGGACCGTTTCCCGAGAGGACCTTTAATTTCTCACTCTGGAACCCAATCTCCGGCCTGGGCCAAGAACTTGGAGCCGCCAACCATGATTCTACTTCAGTGGATTGACGGAATCCATTTTACACCACTTTGAATCCGTGATGAACGCCATTGTTTGTTGGTATTTACTGGGGAATCATCCAGGATTTCGCCCGTCTCAGTAGTACAAGTAAGTTAAAGTTAAAGCAAAAACAGTTCGAGATGATGCCCCAGTTGGAGTCGCTCTGGGCTCGCCAACTCGAACCTGACGAGTGCGCCCAGCTGGGACCAGGCGCGCCTGGCTGATTGCCGATACTCGCTCGGCACAAGGGGAAACCAAGTCTACCCCCCCTGGCGGAGGCTTGCCGGTCCAGAGCGGTTCCTTCCCCACAGCCTGTGTTTCACGTTTCTTTGCCAGTTCTTGGGTTCCTTGCGCTAAGGCTCAACGGGAAGCCAGAATCACGTTCAGGGGCAACCATACAAGTGGCTAATCAGGTTGAAATCCATCAAGGAACCCTGGCATGATGATTCCCCTGTAACTACCAACCACGGCTTTGAAGTGGTGCGAAATGGACTCCGCAACCATCCACTGTAGGTCGTAGGACAACTTGTATGGTCCATGCAAACCTGGCGCCTGCTTGGCTCACAAACTTCAGAAAAATTAAAGGACCTCGCCCTCCAACTTGCCTGAGGGTTTAGCTACCTTTGCGGGGCCCCTTTGTAAACCAACCAGGGTGTCAACAGGCAGACCTTTGGCCAATCCTTCACCATCCCTTAAAAGATACCTCTAGGGGCCAGTCCAAGAAGACTCCCAATACCAGCTGATTTAAAGGATCGAACTAAATGAAAAGCAGGTAGTTGTCACCAGCAACTTCCAAGCAAGGGTCGTCCATTTGTACTTGAAGCGCCCAAGGCCCTTTTGGCTGCAGGACGACTACAATACACCAACATGAAAGCGATCTCCACCCAAATCCATCGATGCCAGTCGCGCCTGGGCTGCCTGCAACCATTCGCAGTGCTGGTTCGCCGCCCATACCTTCCAGCTCGTGAGTCGCTCGTCGCGAGCGATTGAGCGATCATGTCGATGCCGGTGGGTTCCAAATGGACGGTTTTTCCCAACAGCTGAAAGCGATGGGGTCTCAGCCCCCGGACAGGCTCCGGGCCGGTCTGGGGCGGCTCTGAGGCAAGGTTCCGCAGGGTTCCGCGAGGGTTCCGCCAGAGACCCAGCGATGCACGGGGCGGTTCCGAGGAGGGCTCCACAAGGGTTCCGCAAGGGTTCTGCAATGTTCTGCAAGATTTCCGCGAGGGTTTTGCGAGGGTTGCGTGGGGCGTGAGCGTTCCGGCGGCGCAAAAATGGTTCCGAGGGGTTTCTGCGAGGGCGGGTGTGGGATATCACCTGAGTCTTTTTTTTGCCGAGTGTCCTCTTCTCACTTGACTGGATTGGGATTGGCCAAAGTACCCACATTTGGTTTTGGCGCTGAACGGTCCAAACGCAAAAGTGACATGAACTCACCAATGCCTTCCAGGACTTGTGTTGGAGGAGTCCTAATGTCAGCCTCAATCGGCTTCCCGGCTAAATGTTCGACCCTCTTAGCCGCTTGGCTGTAAGCATGGTCGTGAGGGACTAAATCTCCGGGAACTGTTTCACATACCTCCTTATTCCTGCAGAGCTCAGCTTGCTGGGGATGCGATTTGGACATCATGATTTGGGAGATGGAAAAGTCACAGTAACATCTCAAGCTGGGGATGCAAAACGAGATGTGAAGCTCACTTTCTGATTTATTGAGCATACAGGATTACTCCCATTCGACCAAACCGGGTAGAAATTTGGCAACTCTGGTAAAGGGAAACAAAGAAAATCGTTTACAGAACATGCCCTAGGATCACACCCTGGGAGAGTGCCCCCCATGGTCCAAAATCCAAAACGACAAGAGTTCATCTGTTTTCTGCAGCGAGGCCCCACAAAAGCTCCCCGGTCTCAAGGTGCAGTCAGCGGCTTCCAACCGCGCTGCACCATGACTCTAGGCAGGTTCAGACAATCGGCTCTTTGTGAAAATATGAACTGACAAATGGATGGTGTCCGTTTGGATTCCCACCAAAACCACTTTCGGGAGTTCCCAAAGGCACGCCTAAGAAAGCCATGAGAGGCGCTTCGCAGCCCCTCAGTGTCCGGATACTAAGAAAGGGGGAACGCTCCTGTTAACAACTCTACCTCATCTTTGCCTCCCGCCGAAAATGTCATATTTAGATATATTTAGATTCTGGCCTATGTTGGTTTGAAATTTACTTGAGGACCCTTTGGTGGACATGATTTAGGTGAGGTTCATGTCCACCAACCACTTGTTTGGTGGTTCCCAATTAATTACAACACCACAGCCATATTGAGTGAACATCTACACATGTTTCACATGGCTTCTCTGAAGACGGAACAAGCGTAGACGATTGGTCTTTGAAGAACGGAACCAAAAGGCTTGGGCCCTGTCTTAAAACACGGTGGCGAGCAACGGAGTAATGTTGTTTGTGGGTGCTTTGGGTGGTCCCCCATTTCCAACTCCCTTCCCGAATTTTCCACACCAGTTTGCTAATGATTCTGTCAGTGTCTCACGCAGTGTTCTTGTGGACATGAAGAGCCGCTCCGCAAATGGACAATCAACTACTGGATTTGGATGTGGCTGTTCTAGGGACAGCCAAACATGGTGTTGCTTCCTTTTGGTTTCCCTTGAAACCAACCCCCAAAATTGGTACCCTCAAAACCAAACAGGTATCCTTTAAAAAAGACACGCCCATTTGGCAAAACCAATGCAATCATTGACAAACCGGCAAAACATCGCCCCAAGCAATTGGCCTTGGTAAGCTGGTTCTAACCGTAAAGCTCCTGCTTTCCCGGTGTCAACGGTGGCTTTACCCTTTTGTGCCGGTCCCGAAAAGTGATTGCCTTCAGGTCCTTCGAAAGTGCGGCGGAACAGCCGTCTCACGACCCTCTCGGTTGCAACACGCGTGAAAAAAGAAGAAGATCCCCGTGTCGGCAGGTGCCGCACCCTTGCGGAAACCCAAATTGGAGGTCGCGAAGAAACAATAGACGTAAGCTAGGGCGAATTGCCCAACAGCTTTAACAAGCTGCAGTTTTCCGGTTGGTGATAGGCCACTTGAGCTGGTTCAAACAATAGATTCAAGGGCTTGAATCGGTCAATCCTTCGTTCATTTTGGGCATCGAGTTCAGGGACCTTTATGAACAGAGGTCCACACATCTGGAAACCGAATGGGGAAGCAAGGTGTTGGTTGTCGGTTTTGAAGAAACAGCTGCTTCGCTTTTTCTGAAGATACCGTTTGAAGAAACTGAATAGGGACTCAACCCCTAAAATGGTTGCCAACAAGGGACAACCAAAGGTCAAAGCGGATTAACCAACCATAGTTGTGGAAAGTCACCTGAAATCTGTGAAATAAGGTTTGTCTTTTTCAAGGGTAGCTTCTTGAAGGTTGGTTTAAAGCAACAACCAAGGGAAGCAAAACACATGTTTTTTTTGGTTCGGGTCACTCCTATGACTTCATTATTACTCCAAAGGGGATTCTCTTGCAAACACTCCCACACTCCTTGTCTCGTGGCAACCATGCCAGCGGTTGCGAACATGCCTGCCACGTCCTGATGTCTCTGTGATACGACCATGACGTCTATTGCGCCCAATGGATGTGACGCTTGCGCGTGGAACGAGTAGGCGAGGGGCAGCAAAACACCAAACGCGAAAACACAAACCAAAACGACTCAACACGCGGAAAAATGCCCTCGGCCTACTTGTTTTTCCAGCAAAGAAAACCATACAAGTGCCTTCCCCGATACCATTGGGGATGTGAAAAGCCTCAGTTCCCACAACCACGCCGCCCCAGCTCCGCCAAGCGGCCTGAGTCATGGCCCTGACGATGCCCAAATCTCCAGCCAAAGGCACAGCTTGAGCTGAGAAGAAGCGGGGAAACAACGGCATCTATACAACTGGTAAAAAAGCTTGCACCCAAGAAAGGTATTCTTCCAACAAAAACAGCGTTCTGCAACAAAACCAGCATTCCGACACTAAATGCATTCTTCGGATCAAAAAACAACACCGTCTTCCAACAAATAAGCAGTTGCAGTTTTGGCAAGGGAATTCGTTGCTCAATTGAATTCCATCTTTCCATCTGGCGAATTGGCGAGGTTTCAGGACGACCCGAGTGATGTGGGGCAGGTTTACCCACCCTCCAAGCCATTTACAACCAATCCAAACGAAATGCTCAATTCTTGAGTGGATTGGCAAACAAACACATCACTTCTCATTCAGCACTAAACGGTCTTCCCAAAAAGTGACGAATGGCCAGGAGATCGGGAGTGAGATTCAGTGTAAAGGCTTCACTTGGGAAAGCTTCGGGAGTCCAACGGGTCTGGAAACACTTTCCTGGGCGTCCAAACTGATCCACTTCAAGTAGCGCCCAACCACTAAACCAGCTCAAACACATTTAAGAACCTAAGAAACCTGAGAAATGTCCCACAGGTCAAGGCTTGGGGTGAGACCCAAATGAATGACTCTCTTCTGCCGGCCAGCATAGTCGGCCTGCATAGTCATCCCGCATGATCCGAATCCAGCGTTACATGTGGGCTCCGAAAACAATACATCCTGATTCTGTTCGACATTTAACGATCAATGGAATCAACAGTCGTCTGTTGCTCATGCGAGCCGCTGTGAAAAAATGCTGTCTCCCTGATTGCGGTTCTCCAATCAACATGAGAAAAGTGGTGAGAAAAGTGGTGAGCTGAGTGTCCCTCACTATACCGTCCACAATTTGCCATAGACAAAGTAGGCTGTTTGACCGACCCTGCTGACATAGTTGCGTCTCTTGAACCTTTTTTCCCAACTTGTTTTGGACAGGGGGGCCCTCCCTTTCAATTCAACCACCACTGGAGGTCGGTGGCAAAATAGGCAAGGCTCAGTCCGTTCCCATAGAAGGCGCTAGCCCATGAATCAGTGAATGGCAGCAACCTCTAGGCAAAGCAAACCGAAACTTCGGCGCCACTTTACCTCTGCAAGCTAGTCTCGATTGGCCCTCCAACATCACCTCCTTCATTCCTGGTCTCTTGTATCCCTAGGCTTCTCCGACACAGCGCCGTTTTTGCCACTGGGATACAGCCGATCTTTGAAATCTGATGGGATACGCAGGCAGACGCCAGCTGCCCACGTGATCCTTGGCCTGTGGCTTGTCAATCTGAGCCCAATCGGACTTGCAGATCGCAGTACATCGCCGCTATGTCACTATATCCGTTCTACAACAAACTCTTATTGCAGTCTCTGCCCCCTGCTGATTGGTGGAACGTCGGCTATCTTCAAATGTGAATCGTCGGAATAGAAAAGGACCACACAATTGGAGCGTTCCTTGCAGTTTCCGTTCAAGCACAAGGTGAGAAGGGTCCCCTCAAAAACACAATGGCAAATTTCGTATGAAACGAGACAGAGCCGAGAGCGTCGCTCTTTCATCGATTCCATCGAGCCAAAGGGTCGAGTATGACCATTCGACCAGCCCCGGTCGCTAAATGTCGCCACTCTCCAAACACAGAGATGTGTGTCGATTTTGAGGTATTTTTGGCGGGGTGGTTTATAGGGAAAGCAATTGAAACCCTGTTTTGGTGGTTAAAAGACCAACCGAGGGGCCTGGAATCAGCGCTGGGGACTGTTGCATTGACTATCGGGTTCCTTATGTGTCCCTCACCCAAAAGGTGGCCGATCTCAAAATGGCCAAGTTGGCGATGCTCACATAACTTGTACCACCCGAAGAGTAACAGAAACCGAGCCATGTGAAAGAATGGGCCAACTCCGGAAAACCAACACGCCGCCTTGATTCGGTTTTACGGCATCACACTGAGGATGGACGACATCCTGCATTGTTTGTTGGTATTTACCGGGGAATCAACATGCCAAGGCTTCTCAGGTGCGAATTCTCGTCCATCAGTGACAGTATGGCCCCCGCCATTCCAACCACTTTTGCAGCCCCTTGGATTCGAGGGCTCCATTTGGACCGGGGCGAAATGGGCAAGTGACCCAAGACACCGAGATCGGCCTTCGCCACCATCTGGCCCGAGCCCTGCGCGGATCCAACCCCCGAGCCCGCGCGCTGAAGGGCGCTTCGGAATAGGTGTCTTGGGGGAATAGAACAAACACAGGTTTCCCTGATAGATGGAATGAAGCCCAAAACAGTGGAATCCATTTCTTTCTATGTCCGGAAGCATTCGACATGGGAACAAGTTGGAAACTGCAATTCAGCGCGATGCAGCTGCGTTTTTCCGGTCCTGACTTTACTTGATTCACTTGAATAATATATTTTGCGGCCATTTCCATGCTTCCCTGTTGTTTTTTTTAAAGTGGTTGAAATAATGGTCCATGACAAACCGTAAAACACAGGCCTTGTAACCATGGTACCCCTGGCAACATGAGGGCTTCCCCCCACAATCGGACCCCCCCGCCCCAGATTTTGAAGGGATAAAATGTAATTAATATAGAGATATTTATGTATACATTTGCATATATATATATAATATACAACTTATCTCACACATTTGTGTGCTTTCAGCTGAATCTTTTGCACAAGCATGGGAAGGACCCGTCGCAAAGGCGCAAGCGGCGCTCCTGCCATCTCGTTCTCCGGGCCAAGGTGGCGCTGACATCGCTGACTAGAAAGTTCAGTGAGTGCTCTGGAAACTCCGCAAATCCAACACTGGCTGCTGGGAATGAACGCGGACCCCCAAACCAACAAAACACAATCGTCACTTTTGGAAACTCCTTTCGGGGGACCTGTTTGGTTTCCTTCTGGCAACTTGAGTCTTCAGCTTCCAGGTCACAGCTTTCGGGTCAACACCATCTGACAAGCCCCAATAGACTGCTAGCAGCTAGCAGGCTTTCAGAGTTTTCATCACAACGTGATCTTTCGCCTCAGCGCGCGGCACGCAACTGGCATCAGTTGCTCACAAATACGCATGCACAACAACAAGGAAAGCAAGCCTTGCAACTACTTGCAACTTCTGAGCAACCAACCAGCTGGCAAAGATTGAGCACACCAGTAAACAAAGCAAACACAAAAACAAACATTTACACCAACCACAAAACCAAGCGCAGAAGCCAGCACGCACACACACACAAACATATTTTCATAATCCGAACCAGCCAGCACGAACACAGGCACACACGACTATATTCACAATCCGAACACAAACAAGCACAAAGGCAGGCACAAACAAGGTTTCACGGCGCTCGTGCTTTGTAGCGCAATTCGGCTTGGAAACTGGCCCTCCACGACCCCGCCCCAGCACTATATCCAGCCAGCGTGCGCCTGCATATATCACCAGACCTGCGTGTTGCGTCGACACAACCACTGACTCCCACAAATTGGGATTAATCAAGCCAATCTGAAAAATGGGAAGGCGCAAGCCGTTGCATTCAAAGCCAAAGCCGGGTGCGCTTACCACTTGGCAGGCGTGTGTGCAGTGCTGAGCCGTGCACGTAAGCGGGTGTGCCTACCGCTTGGCAGCCGTGTGTGCAGTGCTGAGTGGGTGCGCGTGAGCGGGTGCGCTTACCACTTGGCAAACGTTAACAGGCGTGTGTGCAGTGTGAGCGGCGCGCTTGAGCCTGCAAAGCTGACGGGAAGCAAAATGGCCTTGTTCGCAGGAGCCACGAGGGGTCGTGACACCACAAACAAGCGCAAGAACACGCACACACACACACACAAAAAAAAAACAAAAAACAACACCAACGGCACGCCAGTCCCAAGCTGCAGCGCAAGCGAACGATGGCGACTGGTGAAACGAGAAGGCGGCTCAACGGGCCAAAGCACGGTACCACCTCCAGCGTCTGGCCCCGCAGCTCTTGCGAACCTGGGGCAGAAACCTTGCAAACGCGCAAACGCACACACCCACACCCACACCCACCCGCACGCGCACACAGCACAGAGCACACGCACATACAAGCATTGCTTTTTCAAAAGAACTACTTTTGTCACCAAGGTGGGTGTGTCTGTCTTGTGTCGAGGAGACGTCTTTCTTTTTCTCGACTTTTTCCCCAACAGCTGAAAGCTTTGGGGTCTCAGCCCAGATAGGCTTCGGGGTGGTCCGGGGCGGCCCAGAGGAAAGGTTCCACGAGGGTTCCACCAAGGTTCCACGAGGGTTCCACCAAGGTTCCACCGGGTTCCACCAGGGTTCCACGAGGTTCTGCGAGACCGCGTGCTGTTGGGGATATCACCTGAGCTTATTTTTTTTTGGGGGGGAAGGAAAACTACAGAGGGCCCCGCTCAACTTGGGGGTCCCCACCCTGTCACGCGACTCTGCGACCTCTGCACATTCGGTGCCCCGGGGAGCGAGCTTTCGGGACCTTCTTGTGGACGAACAAATTTCAACTCGCACCTCGGGCGCAAACGAGACAATTGGGCGGTTTTTGTAGGGAAATTTGGATTGTCCTCCATGTCCTCCCCAAACTAACAGTGGACTAGTAATGATCAAATGGGAAACGATGAGTGAAGCCCGGGATGGATCCAACACCCCTGACCTCTCCCCGATGTCTCATGTTTCACCAAACGTTAGTACATATCAGTTAGCATGCCCATAGGCACATGCTGCGCACAAATCGGGAGATTGCAACCATGGGTGGGAATTCCACAAACGGGGCAAGCCATGTGCTAGCAAGTTGGGTGTGTGTTTTTCCAGGGGAACCCAGTTGCCATTTAACATGCACCAAATGGGGGTAGTCTCAAAACAGACACGCCAATTGTTACTCACTATACAGCCAGAAGGGTGATTTACATGGAATACATGGCCAGTCTCGAGGCATAAGGGCACTGCACGGGACTGAATAAGTGGAGTGGGGTTGTGGGGCAAGTCAAGACTAAATTGATGCGTAGGAGCAACACCTGCGTAATTTTCTGAAAGCTGCTATTGAACAGCTGTTGGT